AAAGTCCATTGGAGGGCTGGGAAGGTGGCTCAGTGGTAGAGTGCTTGCCTTGCATGCATGAGGCCCTGGGTTCAATTCCTCAGCACCACATAAGCGAAAAGAAAAAAGCCGGAAGTGGTGCTGTGGCTCAAGTGGTAGAGCGTTAGCCTTGAGCTGAAGAGCTGAGGGACAGCGCCCAGACCCAGAGTTCAGGCCCCACAACCGGACCCCCCAAAAAAAATTACATATATAAAAAGTCCATTGGAGTTAAGAGTCTCTGGGATTTGTCTACCAGGGTTGGCTGTGATCCTCAGATCTCTGCCTCCTGAGTAAACAGGATTACAGGCTTGAGTCACCAGGGCTGGGCTTGAGAAGTATCTTTTGTTTGGTTTTTTGGAAATGGGGCTTGAACAATGGGTCTGGGTGTTGTCCCTGAGCTCTTCAGCTCAAACCGAGTGCTCTACCACTGGAGCCATAGCGCTACTTCTGATTTTCTGAGGATTCATTGGAGATAAGGGTCTCATGGCCAGGTGCCGGTGGCTCACGCCTGTAATCCTAGCTACTCAGGAGACTGAGCTCTGAGGATCGAGGTTCAAAGCCAGCCTAGGCAAGAAAGTCCCTGAGACTTTTATCTCCAATTAACCACCAGAAAAAACAAACAAACAAATGAAGTGGCGCTACGGCTCAAGCAGTAGAGGGCTAGCCTTGAGCTGAAGAGCTGAGGGACAGCCGGGCGGGCGCTTGTAGCTCACGCCTGTGATCCTAGCTACTCTTATCTCCAATAAACCACTAGAAAACTGGAAGTGGTGCTGTGGCTCAAGCGGTAGAGTGCTTGCCTTAAGCTGAAGAGCACAGGGACAGCGCCCAAGCCCAGAGTTCAAGCCCTGTGACCGACAAAAACAAAACAAGACAGAGTGTCTTGGACTTCCTGCTTAGGCTGGCTTTGAATCACAATCCACAGATCTCAGCCTCCTGAGTAGCTAAGATTACAGGCATGAGCTACCAGTGCCCTTTGAGAAGTGTTTTTGTTAGACTCATCTGGTCCTGGAAACCTAGCATTTCCACACCTATTTACATTCTTTTCACCCCCCCCCACACACCTCCCATGGCTCCTCCACCCCCCACACCTCCATCATGGGGCTTGAACTCAGGGCCTGGGTGCAGTCCTTGAAAGGAGCTCTTTTGCTCAAGGTAGTGCTCTACCACTTTGAGCCCTAGCTCTACTTCTGGTTTTCTGGTGGTTAATTGGACTTACCTACCAGGGCTGGCTTTAAATCACGATCCTCAGATCTCAGCCTCCTAAGTAGCAAGGATTACAGGCCTGAGCCACCAGCACCTGGTCTCCCATGGCTTATATCCTTGTGTCAGTAGCTGAAGTTACTTGAACACCTTGAATTATGCCATCCTAGAGGCTCAGCTAAGACCATTCCCTCTGGAATCCCAGGTCGTTCCTGCCCCCAGGGGGCTACTCTGTCCTGGCCCACAGACTCCTGCATCTCCCAGGGTCCCTCATTCCCTCAGCCAACCCCCCTGCCTGGTATTACTCCTCCTCTGGGACCCCCACTGGCCAGGCTGTCACTGAGCCACACCCATGGTGATCAGTGCCAACTCTATTAAAACCAGCAGCAGCGCACCAGATGCTGGTGACTCACGCTTGTCATCCTACGCTCAGAAGGCTGAGATCTGAAGGTAGTAGTTCAAAATCAGCTTGAGCAGGAAAGTCCAAGGGACTCACAGCTCCAATTAACTACCAAAAAGTTAGAAATGGAGGTGTGGCTCAAGTGGTAAGAACACCAGCCTTGAACAAAAAAGCTAAAGGATAGCACCCAGGCTCTGAATTCAGACAAAAATCAAAGCAGAGCTGGGTGCCGGTGGCTCACGCCTGTAATCCTAGCTACTCAGGAGGCTGAGATCTGAGGATCGAGGTTCAAAGCCAGCCGGGGCAGGAAAGACCGTGAGACTCTTATCTCCAATAATCTACTAGAAAACTGGAAGTGGTGCTGTGGCTCAAAAAGTAGAGGGCTTGCCTTGAGCTGAAGAGCTGAGGGACAGCGCCCAAGACCAGAGTTCAAGCCCCACAACCAGAAAGAAAAATAAATAAAAGCCGGGTGCTGGTGGCTGAAAACTGTCATCCTAGTGACTCAGGAGGCTGAGATCTGAGGATCATGGCTCGAAGCCAGCTTGGGCAGGAAAGTCCCATGAGAGTCTTATCTCTAATGAATCACTAGAAATCCAGAAGTAGTGCTGTGGTTCAAAGTGATAGAGCACCAGCCTTGAGCAAAAGAGCTCAGGAACAGCACCCAGGCTCTTGAGTTCAAGCCCATGACTAATAAAAAATAAAAATCAAAAATCTCACTCCAGGCTTTTGTTTTTGGCCAGTCCTGGGGCTTGAACTCAACCAGGGCACTGTCCCTGAGCTTCTTTTGCTCAAGGCTAGCACTCTACCCTTTGAGCGACAGCTCCATTTCAGGCTTTTTTCTGTGTATGTGGTACTGAGGAATGGAACCCAGGGCTTCATGCATGCTAGGCGGGCACTCTACCACTGAGCCACCTTCCCAGCCCACACCCCAGGTTTTCTAGTTCTCCCCCAACCTCTTCTTTGGCCCAGAGGGGCATTTTCCTCACTGCCTCGGCCCCTCCCCTGCCAGCGGCTCTCCTGTCTCCACAGAGCCTCAACACTGCCCACACCCCGTGCACGGCCCTGGCCTCTGTGAGGACTCACCAAGATGAGGCTGTGGCCAGGTCATCGCTCCTGCAGCAGTGTATCCTGAGGGCGGGGGGCAGGGGGCAGCTGTGGCCCCCACAGGATCAGCCTCAGGCAGGGCAGGGCCTCCAAGCCACCACAGTCCCTTGTAACCACCACCTCCAGGCTCTGCCTGCCTGGCTGGCTCACCTGCTCCGCAGGGTGGGGCAGTGCCCTTGCCAGCCTCTGCCAGCGTAGGTACCAGGCAGTGGCCAGCAGCAGCAGGAGGGCAGCGGGCAGCAGCAGCAGGAGCAGCAGCAAGGAAGGCTGGGAGGCGGGCAGTGCTGTCCCCTCCAGGGCCCCGGGAGTCGGGGGCAGCAGGGTGGAGGAGTCTGGGGAGACAGAGGAAGCTGGGTAACCAAGGAGGAGAAAGGGCCTCGTCAGGGAGGGTAAAGGAGGCCTGTCTGGGGTTCACGGTGACCTCACTTGGCTTCTGGCCTCTCTCTAATTTGTTTTCCTCATCTGCAGTAAAAGCTGGGTATAGTAGTAGACATCTGTAGTCCCAGCAAGTTCCAGGCCAGCCTGGAGTAGGCCCAGAGTTCAAGCCCCACAACTGACAAAAAGAAAAAAAAAGTCCAGGGAATATACAATGTGTTTAGAAGACTTGGAACACAAAGGGATTATATTTTAGTTTGAATCCACCAAGTTTAACGACTTCTAGTGTTTGCCGGGGTTTGTCTTTTTTCTCCCTGTAGTAGGTGAGCTTTGTGCAGGAACAGGTGGTCACTTGTCTGGTTTACTGTCTGCCAGGACTGCAGTGAGTGTACAGACAGATCATCCACAGCTCACAGAGCCTCTGTGCACAGCAGAGCTGCTCCACAGCCTCAAGGGTGTGTGTGTGTGTGTGTGTGTGTGTGTGTACACGCATGCCAGCACTGGGGCTCAAACTCAGGGACTTGTGCTCTGTTTTAGCTTTTTCACTCAAGGCTAATGCTCCTCTTTGGGCTTCTTGCTGATTCATTGGCGATCAGGGTGCCCTGGAGTCCTTGAGTAGCTAGGATTTCTAGCTGTGAGCCACTGGCACCTAACTCCTATTTTCTTTTCCTTTCTTTCTTTTTGAGCCAAGGTCTTAGCGTGTTAAGAAGCCTCCCATAGAACTCGGGCTCAAGGGAGCACTTGCCTCCCTTTCCCCAGTAGGTGGAGTTATAAGCATGGTTCACTAGATCATGTTTGAAAGTACTGAGTATAAAATGGGTGTGGTGGCACATGGCTGTAATCCCAGGATGGAAGAGTTCAAAGCCAACCTGGGCTAAGTAGGAAATTGGAGAGCAGCCTAGACTTGAGAAATAAAAAACACCAATATAGAGAGAGAGCTAGATACTGGAGATAGGTAATATGTTGAAAGGTACTCTTTTGGGGATACTGCATTCCATAACATGTGAATGGAGATACAGGCTGGGGGGCAGTAGAGTGCTTGCCAGGCAGGTGAAAGAAAATTAGGAAAGATGGGAAGAGAAAAAGAGTCAATTTAAAATCACTGCAATGAAGTTCAACAACATAATTACAGGGAAGAGGACAGCGGTTCTCAGGGCTCAGAGATGGCGACTGTGGCAGGTGGTTTGCAGTGATGGCACAAAGTCTCTGGATCCTGAAGGGGACCCCACCAACCTGGGTAGAAGGCAAGACTGCCTGGGACACACACACACACACTGCAATGGGTTACTGTCTCCCCTCATAAGACACTGGCTGTTGGTGTGCTGACACTTGCCTATGATTTCAGCGCCGGGTAGGCTGAGGCAGGTGGATGGATAGAGAGTTTGAGACTGGCCTGGGCCACACAGCAGGATCCAGTCTTAAAAAACAACAGAAGGCCAAAGCCGATGGCTCACACCTATCATCCTAGCTCCTCAGGAGGCTGAGATCTGAGGATTGTAGTTCAAAGCCAACCTGGGCAGGAAAGACCATGAGACTCTTTATCTCCAATGAACCAGCAGAAAACCGTAAGTGGTGCTATGGCCCAAATGGTAGAGCACTTGCCTTGAGCTGAAGAGCTCAGAGATAGCACCCTGGTCCAGAGTTCATGCCCCCACGACCAACAAAAAACAAACAGGAAAGTTGATGAGCAAAGACCGAGATCATATGACCGGAAAGATGGCTGTCTATAAGCCAAGAGAAACATAGCTCTGGCTGACAGAAAAACCATGTACTTGACCTTGTCTGGGGGAGTCTACTGCTTTCTGTGGTTTAGGTCACAGGTTTGTAAGATTTTGTTAGAGCAGCAGCAGCAAACTAATACACAAGTGGACAACAAGAATTGTTACACCTGAGTAAAGCTTGTGGACAGGACCCTTGTCAGGTTCCTGCTTTGGTTAATTTCTATACTTTGGTTAATTTAAGAAAATGAGGCTTAGCTGAGCACCGGTGGCTCACGCCTGTAATCCTAGCTACTCAGAAGGCTGAGATTTGAGGATCGTGGTTCAAAGCCAGCCCGGGCAGGAAAGACCGTAAGACTCTTATCTCCAATAAAGCACTAGAAAACCAGAAGTGGCACTGTGGCTCAAGTGGTAGAGCACTAGCCTTGAGCTGAAGAGCTGAGGGACAATGCCCAGGCCCAGAGTTCAAGCCCCATGACTGACAAAAAAAAAAGAAAGAAACTGAAGCTGGTGGGGCACTGGTGGCTCATGCCTGTCAGCCTAGCTACTCTACTCAGAAGGCTGAGATCTGAGGATCGCAGTTCAAAGCCAGCTGGGGCAGGAAAGTCCATGAAACTCATCTCCAATAACGCACCAGAAAAGCAGAAGTGGTGCTGTGGCTCAAGTGGTAGAGCGCTTGCCTTGAGCTGAAGAGCTGAGGGACAGCGCTCAGGCTCAGAGTTCAAGCCCCTCGATCAACAAAAGGAAAAGAAAAGAAAAAAAAAACTGAGGCTGAAAATGAGGGAGAGAGTAACACTGTTTGGAAAGAAATGTGTTACCCGGGCGCCGGTGGCTCACGTCTGTAATCCTAGCTACTCAGGAGGCTGAGATCTGAGGATCGAGGTTCAAAGCCAGCCTGGGCAGGAAAGTTCGTGAGACTCTTATCTCCAATAAACCGCTAGAAAACCAGAAATAGTGCTGTGGCTCAAGCGGTAGAGCGCTCGCCTTTAACTGAAGAGCTGAGGGATAGCACCCAATCCCAGAGTTCAAGCCCCACGACAAAAAAAAAAAAAAAGAAATGTGCTCATTACCTTACACATGTAAATGTAACCCCTCTGTACATCACCTTTATAATAAAAGGGCTGGGAGAGTGGCTCAGTGGTAGAGCGCTTGCCTTGCATGCATGAGGCCCTGGGTTCAATCCCTCAGCAGCACATAAGCAGGAAAAGCCAGAAGTGGTGCTGTGGCTCAAGTGGTAGAGCACTAGCCTTGAGCTGAAAAGCTGAAGGACACTGCCCAGGCCCCATGACTGACTCAAAAAAAAATAAAAAAAAGTATAAATACATAATAAAAATAAAGATGCTGGGTGCCAGTGGTTCACACATGTAATCCTAGCTACTCAGGAGGCTGAGATCTGAGGATTCTGGTTCAAAGCCAGCCTGGGTAGTTAAGTAGTCCAAAAGACTTTTATCTCCAATGAACCAGAAAACCAGAAGTGGTGCTGTGGCTCAAGTGGTAGAGTGCTAGCCTTGAGCTAAAGAGCTGAGGGACAGCGCCCAGGCTCAGAGTTCAAGCCCCATGACTGACCAAAGTGGGGGAAAAAAGAAGAAAAGGTAAAGGACGGGCTGGGAAGGTGGCTCAGTGGTAGAGTGCTTGCCTAGCATGCATGAGGCCTTGGGTTCAATTCCTCAGCACCACATAAACAAAAAGGTAAAAGACAGCACCTAGTACTTGAGTTCAAGCCCTAGTACACACACACACACGCACACACACACAATTGTATGTGCGGGATTGCACTGTGGAGGCGCGGGGCTGAGGAGGGTCCCAGGGGAGGGGGTCAGGGCTGGCGGGCTGTGGGGGGTGCGGGGCAGGAGCTGGCGGGCTGGGGGCACAGTTACCCGGCTGACACTGCAGCTCCAGGCACCGAGAGAAATTGCGGCGGGTGATCCAGGGCTTTAGGGCCGCCAGCTGCCGGGCGGTGTCCTGCAGGAGGTGGGAGATGTTGGTCTGGACGAAGCGGAGACAGCTGGGGAGGGGCTGGGGGCAGGGGAGGGACATGTCACCACCACGTCACCCCCCTGCAGGCTGCACTGAACTTAGGGGAGAGAACCCCTGAGCCTGAGGAACTGGAGGCCCAGATCCCCCAGGAATGAGCTCCTCAAACACCCCACAGAAGCCACGCCCTGGTGGCTCACGCCTGTCATCCCAGCTCCTCAGGAGGCTGAGATCTGAGGATGGAGGTTCGAAGCCAGCTGAGCAGGAAAGTCTGTGTGACTCTTAACTTCCAATGCACCCCCAGAAAAGCCAGATGTGGAGCTGTGGCTCAAGTGGTAGAGCGCCTTTGGCTCAAGTGGTAGAGCGCCTTGAACATAAAAGCTCAAGGACAACGCCTAGGTCCTGAGTTCAAGCCCCAGGATTGGTGCACACACTCCCCCCACCCCAAGACCTAGTGGTAATGCCCAAGGGAGCTGTGTACCCCATCCTATCCCCATCTGCCCCCCAGGTTCAGAGCTGACCTGAAAGGGGCATGTGGTGACAAAATGGATCTCTGTGTTGACCTTCTCCAGGAGGGCGTGCAGATGAGCCCCAGCCACTGCCTTGAGTTGCTCCATCCAGCGCTGAGCCAGAAGCAGCCGCCACAGAGCCGGGCACAATTCCTCCTGCCAGCAGGACCCATCCCTGTCACTGTCCCGGCAGGAGGAGGGGCCTGGCCTCTGGCCTGGGGCTGAGGGAGGAGGCCAAGGCCTGGAGTCCTGGAGCTGAGGGAGAAATGCCTGCCCCCCCCACTCCCAGCTCTGTCTGCCCCAGGGCCTCTCCCACTGTGACTCACCTCCTGCAGGTTCGAGGCCACCGTAACTGGGTAATCTTGAAGCAGGTAGTCAGACTGCAGGAGAAATCAGGGTGAGGCCTGACTAAACTCGGGGAGTGGGGGGAACAAGCCTACGCCCCAGAGCTGCTGAGTTGGGGGAAAAGGGGTGTGGGGGGCGCTCACCAGCTGTCGGATTTTGACTTCGAAGTCAGAGGTGATGGGGCTGTGGCTGAAGGCGCAGCTGGGGGTCGCGTGGAGGCCAGGGCTCAGCAGCAGCAGCAGCAGCAGGGGTGACTGGGTGGGGGGCTTGCTCAGTTCAGGCCCCATCCTGTGCTCCCCACTTCGCCTCTTCTCCCCTCCTCCTCTCTAGCCTTCCCTGTGACCCAGGCTTCTTCGTCTTCACCTTCCTCTGTCTGTGTCTGTGTGTCTGCGTGCTGAACTCCCTGTCCCTGAGTTTCTTTTTGGCTCTGGGCTGGCGCTCTACCACTTGAACCACAGCTCTACCTTGGGCTTTTTTGGTGGTTCACTGGTGATAAGAGTCTCGTGGACTTTTCCTCCCCGGGGCTGGTTTTGAACCTTGATCCTCAGATCGCAGCCAGCTGAGTAGCTGGGATTACAGGCACCCGACTCTTCCTCTTGTCTCTGGTCCAGCACTGTCCTTTTCCCACCTGTTTCTTCCTCCCCTCCCCGCCCCCCTCCCCTCGTGCCCCCACCTCCTCTGTCCCCCCTACCTGTCCGCCCCCCCCACCTGTCCCCCTCCATACGTACACTCCAGGCCGGCGCCAGCACTGTCATCTCTGCCGGGACCCCCTCATGCCTGTGGCCGGTTCCTGGAGGGGACAGCAGGGCGGGGCTGTGACCCGCACCCCGCCGCCCCTGCCTGGCCCGCCCCTCCCGCGCCGCCCCTCCCCGGCCCTTGATGTGGCCAAGTTTCCGCCGCCCCCGGCTCCCCCCGGCTTCCTGCGCGAGCCCCGGGAACGGTGGAAACTCATCTCCCCTTCTAAGAACCACGACGTCCGGTCCCCGCACGCTCGGCACCCCCCCCGCAGGCCCCCCCACCGACCCCCAATCACTGCCCCGCGGGGACCCGGGGTCCCCGGGCCCCTCACGCACAGGGCTGCGCCGGGGTCCTGACGGACAGCCCCGCGGTGAAAGCGAAAGGGAGCCGGGCCGCGCGCGCCCCC